ATCCGCTCAGCTGCATCAGGGCAGCGGAGATACTCGGGGTAGGAGGTTTTGGGGTGGAATGTTAAGCGTATACGCTCTGATATCTAGTCAAATATAACAAGTTGAAGTTCTGCAGTGTTTATTTTGAAAATCGTGAGCTTCGCCTTGCAGGCTGTGCATGTTCTTGATACCTCCGAAGAAATTGAAAAACCCGATAGTCTGAGCCGACTTTAATAAAGCCTGAAGCAACAAACTCCCAACCTCGTTTTTTTCTTTTTTCGAATTGGAACAAACCCGCTGAAATGTAACAATGACTCTAGTCACCCCTGTTATGATATCATTCAGAAGCAACTCATTAACTGCCCTATAACACTATAGCTTTTGGGTAGCGTCAACCCCACGTTTTGGCGTAGGAATATGAGATACAAATTCGCACGTTTGATCCGTGGGCATGCAAATTTAGAGTTAGTGCTTCCTCCGGATGATGAATCATCCCAAGTGCGAATGCATCAGCGTTTATCGTCACCGTGATGGGGGTATATCTTTGTGTCTCTCATCTTGGAAAACCTATGACATTCTTGGCTCACGTAATGATTTCAGTAATATCGGTAGGTATATGCAGAACATGCATTAGATCAGCCTTTTATTTCCTACAGCCCTTGCAGACCAGCCCTTTTTGCAATGATATACATATACTCCATTTGGAAGTAACCAATACCTCTATCTCCTTGCTATATTAATAGATTCTACCCCAATTTATTAATGAGGACATCTCCGATACACTTCCTCCTCCTCCTCTCAATATTATATGTATTTACCCCACTAACCCCAAAGTTCACCCACAACCAACCGCAAGCCAATGTTACTAGTTAATACGCCCCCTATCATCACAAGAACCACATCCACCTCCCCTTTCCCGTAATGCCCCACAAGCTAAATCCACTGCTCTGGCGCCGAATCTCAAAGCCCAGTGATACATTGTGATCCACTCGCTGCAGAGTTAGGGTTCCGATTCTTGAGATAGGATGCTTCATGGTATTGGAAGTTTCTCATTACTTCATTATAAGTATTTGTCATCATCGGCCTATGACTCTTTCATGATTCACTTTCCTATCAGTCATTCTATTACTTATACGTCTATGACACATTGTATTCTTTTTGAAATATTTCCCCTTAGTATAAATATGGGGCATTCCCACTTAGCTAGCTCAATTAATACGCTAAATACTTCACTTCTCTAAATAATCTTTCTCTACCGATGAGTTTGTTTATCTGTTCAGTGAGGGGCAGGTGAAGGGGAATGTTGATACTGTCAGAGGTACTTTGTTTGATGTTGTATTGTTGTTTTGTTGTGTTTTTACGCGAAGCTGAGGTGGTTGGTTGGGAGATTGATGATTGGGTAGAGTGGAGTTTGTGTTTTGGAAGAGGGGTGTACGTGGTTGTTCCTGTAGAGGTGGTATGGAGATTGGGGTTTAAGTATTATTTTTGGACGAGAGCTGATTACAGTGATGTGGTGGCATATATTGGGAACGTCTCATCTCAGCTGAGATCTGGACCCAGAGCTAACAACATGGGTTATTACAGTCTGTCAACCAGCCTCCCTCCATCTCCCCTCATACGACAGTGATTCGATCGCTGTCAGGCATAAAGAGAACCGAGAGCATCAGCATATATACGCTGCAGGTACCCCCACTATTACGCAGCGTGAAGTCTGGTAGAAGGAGGTCACGGTACGGTGGATTGACAGAGCTCATATGGCCGATTGATGGCCGCAGTAGTCGAGGCGGAACATAGGGAGACGTTGGGATGGGGTGTGGAGCATTTGTATCTATATATATTCTTCATGTACTGTGTACTGTTGGAATAGAGGTCGATTTCCTTTTTTTTGGGGGGGGGTGGGGGTTATGTAAGAGGTAACGGTCAAAAAAAACCAGGTAACACATATACGAACCGTGACGGAGAGCTTCCCAACACCGGCCCGAAGTATCTCAACAACAAACTGAGATATTTACCTCCTATTTAAAATAGATAAAGCTTGAGTAGAGTTAAATACATTCATCATTCAATATTGAGTTATAAGTCTCTGCCTTTTCTTTACTTCCTGCAATCTTGTTGGCATGTTATAATGATCAATAAATCCATTCCAAGCCTTTGACTGCAGCTTATACCACTCTTCTTGAATTGCGTTTTCTATCTGTTTTACAGTACTCGGAAATTGAGACTTTGCTTTAATCCGCTGTTTCATAATCCTACATACATTTTCTATTGGGTTAAGGTCAGGGGATTGAGCACTGGCAGGTCTAGAACGGAGAGGGATATTAAGTATTTTTTGACTTCCACCAGTGCCTTTTCAGTCCCATGCCATGGGGCCCTATCCTCAACATATAGACCACCCGCAGATGCATCATAGTCAAGCAGATCCATAAAGCTTGGTACAACTATGGGTTCTAAGACTTGTTCTATATAGTCCTTTGCACAAATACTTTTTCTACCCGTACTGTCCAAAAACACTAGCTCTGACTTCCAATTATAACTGATTGATCCACACACATGAATAGACTCCGATCCACTGTTGAAAGTATATTGAATACAATCCCCATGGAATCGTTTAACTGGAAGTCTTGTCACCAACGCTGAGCTGCGAGCAGAGGTGTTAAAGATGCATTCTTCAAAATACATATGCCATTTGGAATGACAGAAGTCTGTTGTTTTTTCCTAAGTGTTCGTTGGTGTAGGCTGTTCTTTCCTGTTGATTTTCATGTCTAAGGAATGGCTTCTTGCAAACTTTGCATTGGTGACAGCTTGAGTGGTAACGTTCTGGAGATAGTGCGTTTTGAATTGTACGTGGTGACATATCAAGATTAGGTGCTTTCCCTGATTTCCTCCAGCAAAGCCTTCTTCCCTCCCAGCCGCTTCTAATACCAGTGATCATACTAATAAAGTGTCGGCGCGGACGGCCAGGCCAGTAGTGGTTGCAGCGGGAATGATGAGAATTTCGGCACCAGTCACTAATGGTTTGCTGTGGTACCACATTCTGTTGAGATACCTCAGTTTGATAATGCCAATCTTCAAGTAAAGTATATACCCTTACTCTAGTCGGTGTCGTCCAGTGGCCACTGGGCCCATTGCGGGGGGAGTGGAACTCATCGTTGGCATTTGTTTGTGGGTAGTTGCCGTTGCTAGACGTACAACCAGGTTCTTTTGACCACGGGCTCATACATGTAGTGTAGATGGAGGTCTTTGGTAGGGAGAAGCGCTGTTTTCGCCATCTCGAGTGAGTCACAGAGTATCACTCGATAGTATTACCTAGCTTGTGTACATATCTTTACATGTAGTGACAGCTATGTAGCTAGCTGGTTCATGTCTGTGACCCAAAACGTAAGCTGGCCTCCACATCTTACCGTACCACAACAAGCCTGCGCCTACACCAACATTAACTTGACTTGTCCGCACTGTAAAGGTGCTCTCCTCTCTTCACCTCCGCATCCACTACAAGCTGGCGTTTACCTCCTCGACTCTGCTTTCCCCCCCCCCCTAAAAAAAAAAAAAACCCAACCCACCGAGTGCTTCCCTCCTCTTTGACTAGCAGAACCTTGCCTTCACTAGTGCCACATCTCCCCCAGGCCCAGAGCTTGTCTCCGCACTCTCCGGCTGCAGTTAGATACACTCCCGCTACATTCGACTTACCCCACGCTGTAGTTAAAACTCTGGATCGTATTCTTCCCAGGCTTGGTTAGGTAGGTGCGAGTTTTCTTTGTCGCTGATGGTCAATCGAAGTCTTACTAGCTAGGCTGGGCTAGATACCAAAGAGTGAATTTTCGTTCCTCCTTTGCGTTGCCAGACAGGCACCCATCTATCATGCGTAGACACTCTACAGCTTTAGAGACTTTGGATTTCATCGCGGCAGACTATGTGCTTCCTGAACGGTGGTCACTGGACCGTAGAGGCATAGTAGACAGTATGTGTGCCTGTGTGGCTGAGCAGATGGCTGCGACGCCAGTACGAATTGGAATTAGCGCGAAGCGGGCGAATAGTTGTGTCGTCTTGGTCCTGCTCCCGGTCCTGGTCCTGGACAGTCTCCACAATCGCTGCATCAGAGGTCGCCTTCATCACAATCAAGGAATCAACTTCCATGGATCTCACAGTCACTGCCACTACGTGATAAGTGTGCCATCTGCGATGCTGGATTGACTTGGTCTTCATGCAGATTTTCGCGGTGCGGCCTTGATGGGGTAAACGTTCCTCCTTCGAGATCACGGTCGTGGCATTTTATTGATCGGCGGATTAGGGACGGACGGCTCCTCTCGCTCAATTAATTGGGATATTGGATACCATAACAAAGCGGTCTCGTGAGGATCCGAGTGTTCTTGTTTATTTGTTCGTTTTGTGGGATCAAGCCCCAGTCAACGCAGTTGCACCTTAGCTATCGTTACTGCTCAACTCGGGGGTTGGGTCTTGTATGGGGGACATTGCAGCCTCACTCACTCTGCCCTACAGTGGCGGGGTAGACGTTCTTTGTGGGCGTCCCCGGCCAGTATGCCCAGAACGGGGTGCTGGGCAGGTTATGATAGTTCTTTACAGTTGCCTTCCGTTATAACGAACCTGCATATTCCAAAATTTCTCATTCGATACAGCAAATTACCCGGTACAGCAGGTAAAATTCTATCATGTTCTGAGTGACATTTGGAATTATAGTAGATTTGTGTCTTTGTTGGCATTCGGTAGAGCAGAGGGCAACTGTGCTCAGCCCCAACGACCAATGCCAACGGAAGTACACCGACCACGCGACTTCGAATCGCCTCATGGGGAAGAATAAGCGCTTCTCGGTATTGAAATCTATGCATTCTTCGGCCAGTTATATTGCCTGGAGAACAGAAACAAAAAAGACCACAAGCGCTTTCAAATGAAATGCAAATACCTCCACTGCACCGAGCGCCCTCCGAGACACTCCGACGACTCCCTCGACGCGGTACTAAAAAGGCCTCGCTCGCATGCAAGTGACATGGGGAGCAGCTCCCCCCTCACATGTATGCACTGGGCAGCAGCCGAAAACGGCCTGGGTTCTTCCTATCCCTCTTCATACCCGGTGCCACGGCCGCACCCCTTTCGACTAACTGATCGTAGGCGTACTCAGAGTACACTCAGCCGATCGTTGCTCGTCAGCGGGCGAAGGGTGATACGTACCTCCATTTCCTCAGCCACCCAAGCATTGAGGAGTGCGCTTGGGTCTTTGGACACCTTCAGCATCTTCTCCAAGTGCTCCTGGTTCTCCGGCCGAACACCCGGATAGTGAGGGGGGCTCGGCTTCGGGTCACGGTCCACCAACAGCTGTATCATCTCCTCCACATTCTGGCCCCTCGGTTTCTCAAATCTCCGATCTCTCGCAATGTCCAATAGTGTCTGGTTCCCCTGTACCCCCACTGCGCTTCCATGCACTTTGGCGCCCGCCTTCTTTAGGAGCCGCCGCGCCAGCCACAGATCTCCATGGCGCACCGCATGCTCCATCCATGCTGTAGCACATGTTCCGTCAATCGACCATCTGGGGGACCGGGTGATGGGACCGGCGCTGCTCAGGGGCCGGTTTGTGCGACGGGTTCTCCGGGACTGAGTGATGGGACGGGTGCTCGAGGGTTGGGTGGTGGTGGTGCAAGTGCGTATCCTCGGGATGTGAATGATGTCGTGGCACAGCAGAATCTTGACGGTCTCGACCTTCCTGTGCTCCACGAGCAAGGAGAGTTGGGAGAGTTGGGGGAGCCGCCGCTTGAGAGTGTCGTGGAGCGGGTTCCGGCAGGTGGCAATGGCAGAACCTGGGGTGAGAGTGGTGAGAGAGGTGGTTAGGGCGCGTTCAAGGAGCAGAGGGCGGTGGGAGGTGACGGCCCAGATGGCGATCTCCTCGATGTCGGTGGTGAATCTCTTGCGGAGTTCCCGGGCGAGGAGAGTGTGGAGAGCGTGGCACGTGCGGGAGAGCACGGAGAGCACTCGAGTATCGGCGTGTTCTCCTATTATGAGCAAGAGCTCGAGAGGGAGTGCCGGATCGGTGAATGCATGTTTTCCGATGATGAGCATTAGCTCGTGGGGGAGTTTGGGTACGGGGTCGGCGAATGCCATGATGGGTATCTGTTGTCGATGCTGTCTGGTGATTGATGGTACTCAGGTACTGGAATATTGGGGGGCAGAGTTTGTTGGGCAAGATGGGAGGACTGCGCATGCCAACACCACTTCGCTGCTGATTAATCGGTGCGTCTGTTCCTTCCATGGGTATATATGGGTGTATGTATGCGAGTCATGAGACATCACTCGATTCTATCTGAACAGCAGAAAAGATATATTTTTGTTTACTCAGTAACTGGCAACAAAGAAAAGGCAGTATTCTGTGCGCAGCAAATTGATGCGTGTTGTTGATTTTGGGGGGAGTTGATGTATATACAGTCGCACTTGGCAACTGGGCGCTTGCCTTGCTACAGGTCAGCTTCACAGCATATCACTCGCCGACGATTATGAATTACTTCTAATCAACGACTTCACTCCCGAGCTGTAACCTTGAAACCTCGACAGTACAGCAGTAGAAGACATTCACTGACTAACCGGTAAATCAAGGGGTGCCTTTCCCATCTTACTATCCGCAAATAGTATATACATACATGGTTTGCTGCCATCATCACAGATATGTGGCGCAAGGTAGAAGCTGGATTTGCGCGTACGTTGAGAGTGGACACCGAATTAATGCCAATGAACGCTTTGAGGAAACGATCGTCAGCCGTGAGGCTGTTACATCAGCGCTTTGAGCGAGATGCATGATCATATAACATGGGTTCATCAAGTTCGGGTGAGCAAGGGGTCGTTTTCTTGCCGTGTGACACCCCCGCACATTTCACGAAGTAGGTAGGCTCTATTCTTCGAAGCCTAGCTAAGTAACCTCCACAGTCCTAGTAAGTGGATATATACTTCCCCGAATTTACAATCCACGATGCTTCTTCCTCTACCCATCGAGCTGTTTGACCTGATTGTAGAATACGTACACATCTCCCCATCTCATCTCCTCTCCTTCTCCCCCCCCCCCCCCAAATCCTGTAATAACTAACGCCACTACAGGCAGACTTTACTCCCACAAAGATAACCGGAAAGCTTCCAACCTCCACTGTCTCCACAGCCCTCGTCTCCCTCATCTACACTTGCAGCACACTGTACACCCGTCTTCTTCCAAGACTCTATAGAACCCTCCCTATTCGCATCGCCCCTATACCCTCTTGTATCTTTAACCCAGCCCTTATCCAGTACACCACTACTGTTCTCTTTCTCCCGCAAAACCAGAGCCTCGAATATAAAGAAAGATGTGCCCAAAAGCATGATAACCTTGATCCCCTCGCTACCGCCCTATAAAACTTCCACAAGCTTCAAACATTGCATATTTTCGGCTCCTGTCCGCAAATTCTCATCAGAGCAGTAGCCGACCATTCTCTGACGCCCCTGACCTGCCATGGCAAGTCACTAATTCATTGTACTACACCTAATCGGTGGAGCCTGCGCTCGCTCAGTGCCATTCTCTGCCCTTAATACGCACATGCATAGGTGATGACAATACTAGCCGGTCATGCCGCTACACCTGAGCAGCTGGGAGCTAGCTTTCGTTGGCTGCCGAAAAGCGATGGAATGATTGAATTTCCGGTTTTGCCCAAGGTCCAAAGCCACAGCATCGCCAATTGGAACATCCGTATACTTGAGGAACTCTGTATGGTTATAAAGTTTAATCAGTTGACAACATTGCAGTTAGTCAAGATGGTGGGCCACGCCAGGGGCGAATAAAGGACATCATCCCAGCAGCCGGTGGCCTAGCTAGCCTGCGGGAAATGAGCGTGCACCTCATGATCCACGAGCTCTGCCCTCTGCTTGAGTCGACGAGTGAGCTGAAGGAGCTGCATATAGTCTCTCGGAGTAAATCTCTCCAGCTCACCGCAGATAGCGGCGGGATGTGAGGGGCTGGAGGATATTAGGGTCGGCGTTGTGCTCGAAGAGTTTGTTAGTTCATCACTACCGCCAAAATCCGATACAAATGATGTTCCTGTCCGTAGGGCCTTGCTAACAGGGAATAGGAGTCCGTACTTCGGACACTGGCTCTATTCCCCAGCATTCGCTACTTGCATATCGGCCTCACCCGAACCGATCCCACCATGCCCCGGCTTCACCGATGTGCTAGCGGAGCTACTTCCACTTAGCGAAATCTCGCTCTGTGAGGGGAGGAGATGCTATTAGAAAAGGAAGTAGTAGTGGATTGGGCATTTTAGAGGGCGATGTCGATGTTGCAAGGGACTGATCTGAAAGGACTTTCAATGATGGCGGAAAGGAATATGTGCATCAGGGAGGCAGGTGATTCTATGAACTCGCTTTTCTTGGTGAGAACATATTTGTACTAATAGGTGTATATATAGTGGGTGAAACCTGGGGTGCCGGTAAAGGATATCTGCTTTGGAGAGGTAAGAGCAAGATTGAGCTTTAAGCGCATGGGGCGAGGGGCTTGGAATGAGGCATTTGAGCCTGTTTGTTATAGTTTAGAGGGTAGGAGTGCGGGCTCTGCATTTGATGTATATCAGTCTAAAGTAGCTTAGTCATATGTCCTGGCTTAAGGACATCTAGATAGACTGTATAGATGAGGACCGAGGAGTTAATGAAAGCATCAGCATTACTATTACTCATAATCGCCTATGTTTGATATGTAGGGCGGGGGAGATTTTTCAATTGCATACATGTAGTTATCCCTGGTGTTTTGATGGAGGGCTTGCTAGATATGTACCTGTATGCAATAACAAAGATCGAACCAACGCTGCTCCTCCAAACCCTGCTGGATGGGTGGTCCGTGCACACTCGAGCACTAAACGCATGCATGTATGTAGAGACACACCAACATTGCCGTTGCGAAAATAGAACTATAACTATCCTTTCCTTCGTTTTGACGGTAAGGTGCGATACAAGTACCAGCGACTCTGTTCTTTAGTGAATCAAATCCTCGAATTGAGTTTGAGCCTAAACATCAACCTAAAAAGGGGACTCTGGCTCTGGGCGAAAACAAAACCCCAAATCCTTTGCTTGTGTCAAGATCACGTTTCAAGACACCCTGTTTCGTGCAAAAAATTGAATACATAAGCGTTATCCCTAACTTGAAAACTCTCCGCCCATCTGACCACCATTCACTACCAAAATAATGTGACATATCCACTATATAATCGCTTTCTCCAATCAGCCTTCCGAGCCTTCACTCAAGGTAACTTCTCTGTCCAAGCTGCCTACAATTATCACTTAGTCTGTCAGTTCAATGCTGCCCTCCCAACGTTGGTACCAAGAGCGTGCCTTTTGCACATGGACCCCGTATCTTTCTTATCAACTAATAGATCTCTCATAACAGGGTACAAGGTCGAGGGATAATACTAGGCAGCGCTGTTTGATAGTACTGAAAAAGGTCCTTTGGGCACTCTTGATCGACATGTGCAGGGGCGCTTAAGTCGGTTTTGCACATCGAAAAGAAAAACAACGCACAGCTGGAAGGAACCTCGGGCGGGTTCAGGATGGTTCAGCCATGATCAGTGAAAAAGGGATTTTCTGCTGAGAAAGGATATATGCTAGGGTATAGGTAGACGTAGTAGCTCGCGGAAGGAATTGCGGAAGTAGAAGGCTGCACAGAGGTAGAAGCTGAGGGAATTAAGCTTAAGGGTTGGAGTACCGAAAGATCTAGATCCCACAAGTACTGGGGGGGCCGAAAAACACTATCAACCTGGGAGTTGAGGGCGACTGACAGGATTTTCAATGATAAGGTCGGCAATACAGTGGTAAGTGTTGATAGATCCATCTAGCAATATTCTGAGTGCAGTTTTATACAACAGACAATTCACTAGGGGCCTTGCTTACCAAAATCTGATGTGAGATGGCATTTTCCGTCCGCGTTATGTAAAATCATATCGATATGTAATAAAAAAAGGTAGCAACTCAGAGTTACGAGGTTCCGACGATAACTTTTATGCCTGGCTATATGTACATAACACTTCATTGACTGTTCGTTGAGTACTGTTAACATGCAGGTACATGTACTACACGTAACAATGGAAATGACTGATCGAAAAGAGCCTCACATCATATCCTAATCTCCCTCCTGCCCCCTGCCTGTCCTTTGGCAATATCCATCACCCCCTTCGACAATGGAAACACCCCCACCTTCACCTTCACACACACCCACTTTCGATGTCGGTCCCCAGGCTCCGACACCCCCGCCAGGAGTCGCTCGAGCACATTCTCAACTTTACCATCGACTTGAACTCGCCACCGTCTTCGCCCTCCGAGGTCCTTCATCTACCACCAGACGAAGAGCGCGACGGGCCCGCTCGTATCCCTCCGAGATATCCAAGACCAGTATCAACCAATCCTGCCAATCCCTCTAACCAGCGAGGGCAGCAAGCTGGTGGTGCTGGTAGCCTTTGCCCCGCCGGGGGGGAGGTCAGGCGTTCTCGAGGAACATGCCAGCAGCCCAAGCCCAGAGGATAATAACGATAACGATAACGATAACGATAACGATAACGACGACGATAACGACGACGAACCAAGTACCAGCCCGCTCGTTCACGAGCTCTTTGCAGCGCTCTACGAACACGCTCCAACGTCCAGCGCCAGGCAAACATTGTCCGTCTTGTCCTTCATGCGCTCTTTAGTCCCAGCTCCCCCGACAACAACCACACCTCTGCCCTGCAGCGCTCCCTTGAAGTCATTCTTCCCCTTGCCCGGGCGTGGCCCGCATATATCTCCGAGTAGAAAGGTGGTGTCTACGGGACTCTCACACTCCTCGCCGTCGAGCTGCTCGACTGCTTCTTCCTGCCTTTCCTCGCTCCCAGGGCAGCCACAAACCCGCAGTACGCTCATCCCTCATCTCCCCAACCTCCCACTCCGAGATCGACCCCAGGCCACCTACAGCCGCCCCACACTCCCTTCGCCACCTCTGCCGGTCGCGGGACGGCAACAGATGCGTTATCGGCCACCAGCAAGGGCACGTGTCCGCCCGCGGCAGGAGGCTCCCCTCGCGCCGCCAGACCTCATCACAACCATCCGTGCACCTTGAATGTGCACACATCATCCCCCACAGCCTGAACCGAGCCGGCACCGGCGGACACCTCGCAGACGACAAGACTGTCGTCTGGCGCACCCTCAACATGTTTGACCCTGGCGTCAGCTCGCTGCTACAGGGCGAGAGGATCGATGGGCCGGCAAACGCTATGATGCTGTACCCAGAGCTACACAACCAATTTGGACTCTTGCATTGGTATCTTGAAGAGGTGCCTGGGGGTGGCGACGAAGCGGTCTATGTATTCTGTAGGAGTAGGGACGCCCCTCAGTTGCCGCTGTACTGTATGCCCGCTGGGCTAGGGGGCACGGTCCGCTTCACGCGCATGGATGGTAGCCGGACGGAGCTGCCGAGCAGAAGGCTGCTGGCTGTACATAGGGCGTGCGCAAAGATCCTGGAGGTGGCCGGCGCAGCGGAGTATGTGGAGGACCTGCTGGACGAGTTTGAGGATGTGAGGGGCAGGACGGGGATGGCGGGGGATGGCAGCTCGGATCTCGCGATGCTTGTTAGGGTCAGGGTGGGCCTGGGGGAGGGCTGATTTCACGGAGAGCGGGAGGGAATTGCGGTGTAGTGTGCGGGGTGTATGCTTTGGCCCTCGTCGGAGGTGGGGCATTCATTATACGGGGGGGGCTCAGCAAAGTAGTAGTAGTGTTGAGCCACAATTAGTTGAGTACCTTAATGAATCATAATATCGTTCAAGGTCAAGCACACAATCGCAATTGGGTTACCAAGAGCAGGGCCATGCCGGATATATAGCTATGTATTACCTGCCACGGCTCTACCCCCATACCAGGCTCCGCACTGATCGTCCACACGTAAGGTTCTCCAAAGACACCAGAAATCGAACTTTACAAGCGCGCGGCCACTCCGCGCCGGGATGCGCCACCGAGCACAACGCGCTCTGTGATCTTAGATCTAGAGTACTCTACTCTAGAGTCTAGACAGGGGCACCTCCGCCTTGCCGAAAACGTTAGGAGGACGGGACTGTTGAGCGACTTAATTATTATTGCGACAAAGAAACTGACTATATAGTCGAGTACTGGACCAGACTGCTCACCCGTGCTTGTTCGGTCACCGGTTCCCGTTCGGCATCACTTGACAACACTATATATACAACAGTTTTTATTTTTGGGTTCGCTTGAGACCATTCCTCAATTGCCAGCTACCAGACGTAGGAGGTGCGAGCTATAGGACGCGGTAAGTTAGGGCCATGATAGTAGATTGTCACGTATACAAGGTAGGAGCCTGCTGGGGATGAATTGCGTAGGAGGCCTCGTTTCGTAAGCTTGGATGGTTGAGAAGGCCGGGCGAGATGGGGAGGGGTTGGAGCGGGTCATGAGGTATCACTCGGTCAGCGAGTGAGCATCTAAGACCTTTTTTTTTGTTAAATTCATTGATTGCATGCAGACTTTCGTCTATGGCAATATCACACGGCACAGAACCACTCTGTTCTTCCACCGCCATTTCAAGAAAATAGACTAAATAACAAAGCTTGGTACTTTTTTCATGCTGCCTCAGTATTTTGACTTGACACTTACCTTTTCCCCTGCCGATTTCGAGTCGATCCGCATAGGTATTTCACTTACCGGTATGAACCATGGCAAACTGAACAGCTACCCTGCATAGGCGAGAAATCAGGAACACAAACGTACACATATCTCCCATGTAGAACTTTGAAAATTATTTTCTCTGTGTTTCCTGCTGTATAGGGCTCTCCCCCATTCCCTGAAAGTGGCCGAACTCATCGTATGATGACAGTTTCGCCAATTTAAACTTTTAAAAACCGCCCGTACAGGTGAAGTTTGGTGGTGCTGCAGGGCCAACCCTGCCATACGATAACACTTTCAGAAATCTGCTAGTTTTTGGGCCTGCGGTACGGCACCTCTTCCTGTTTTGTTGCGTGCAATTAATGAATTAAACAAAAACAAAAACAAAAACCTTCCTGTTTTGTGGTAAATGTGAGGGACGCATTGTGACTGGAGAGGATAAAACCACCTATGGACACTCACAGGACCCCTCGGAAGAGTGAAATGGTCTGAAGGGGGCTTGAGGTTCGATGTTTCACAGGGTACACATGGCGATAGTAAAGGTTATAAAGTAAGTGGCAATTGGGCTCCCGTATCCTGGGATATAGGTGGCCCACGTCGGAGTTGTGGATAAGTATGAAGAGGTGCATGGTACCCAACAACCAGATACGCTTTGTGGTCAATCTCTATCGCGTCATCGATCCACTTGCGCGATTCCGCCAAACTGCAAGCGGCGGTAAACCAAGTGCGCGAGTTGTTCAGGGTATATGTTCAGGACTTTGCCACTGAGAAGTCAACAAGGTACTCGCAGTTTTCGAGGGTCATGGAGAGGAAGCAGGCGAGACGGGTGCGGAGGAGTGGACCTCTTTGAAGTCGAGGAGTGGATTTTGGGTGAATTCGGGTACGGCGGCGGCGGTGGGGTCGACCTAATCTTGCTGGGAGTAGCGGGTGTTGGAGACTAGACGGCCGAGTCTGATGGCTTCGAGAGGAGGCTGTTGGGGAAGATGCTTTTGGGCACCATGACGGTGGGGGGCTGTTTTGGATCAGGTTACTTTCTTTCGGAAGGAGTGGTCTTAGACTTGGTAAAACCGCCTCAAAGTGTAAAATTGATAGTACTCTCCACTAATCATTACTATCTGCTCTCCGCCAATCATTACTATTATTCGTCATCGGGAGTTGCGGATGGAATGATCAATACCAATGGAACTTTTCCGTATCGATTAGATTCTGTGCTTTTTCGATTCATGGATGTCAAAAGCTTTTGCTGTCTCTTGACAGCAACGAATCAATGGTCTGAACTCCCTTGGTGCAGTTTGAAGTGCACAGTGGCCATTTCGTTTCCAAAAGGGAGCGGAGAGGAAGCCTACGCGCTGCACGGTGGTTGGGGGTGGTGTGGTATTGTACGGTATGGTGTTTCAAGACGAGCAAGTATATTAAATCCATACGTTGATCGACTCTAGAGTACGTGCTAGAGTATAACAAGAACTACCTACATAGATGTACTCACATATTGAGTATGCAGTTATGGCAAGGTGCATCTAGGATAAGTACCAGTAATAAGCCCTGATTGTCGCCAGGATAATTGATTGTGTTGTTGACACCTTGCTTTTACATAGCCCCGAGCAAAAAAAGCAAAGAAAGAGCCGGATCAGCTGGCATGATCGAGAGCAGGGATTCGTCTGGAACGCTGCAGGTCTGCGGGGCCTCGTGGAGTGACGCGGGGGTACGAATGGCGCAAGCAGCCCTCAAGCAGTTTAAAGGAATGATCGGCGCGTAGTAACGGTTCATGGAAAGGTTGTTAAGAAGGAGGGGTTTCCCCGCTAAATACGCGGAGTCTCTTGAACCTATACTACTCAGCCCGCGACAGCACGATACAATAATTCAAGATAAGCAACATGTCTAGCCCAGTTGTGTACTATCGTTTGACCAATGACTACAACGGACCCAGCTGGGCACTCGATGTCGTCCCTGACAGCTCGGGCGAACTTAGCATAGCAAGAGCCGGTGATTACTCTGGACAACACTGGAAGCTTGTCCCCGTGAACGGTCAAGCGAACAAGTTCTACCTACGAACGCAATACAAGGGAGACGAGCTTTCCCTTGATATCATCAACGATGGCACAAATGACAGAGTCCACCTTGCGAAAACGGGTAACTATACCGGGCAATTCTGGACCTTGACGAAGGTTAGCCCTGAGAGTACGACGTTCCGGTTAAGTACAGACTTCACGGGTCCGGATAAGTTCCTTGATGTCTTTAGGTATGCTCTCCGTTTCCCGTGAATTGTGGATAGGGTTGACTTGTGAGTTTGGTATAGTGACAAGATGAAGCCGAGAATGGCGAGTGGAAATACAACTGGTATGAAATGGGAGCTGACTGTGACGAAGATTGGGAGTTGACGGTGGAGGGTATATATACATATGTACTTTAACGCCCGAACGCATATCCATATGAGCCTTATATAAGCTATATGTAAGCCTGAATTAAGCCTTTTTTTTCGATTTTGACCTTGGATTTTTTTTAAAGACTTAAAATGCTATGATTTCAATTAGGTTTATATATTGTAAGCCTTATGATACCTGATAATGCCCATATAGAGTTGTTCTGCTTTATTAAAATATTGGTATCATATAAGCCGCCTGGTGATGCGGCGTTATAAATTAAAGCTAGGCGCGTACATATTTCTAGAGATGTTGGGAGTTCAATAAGGCTTATAAATAAATGTGGACTGGCGATGAATAGATGTCAGAATATAGTGTTAATATATATCGGTCATGTACTAGAGACCATAAAGGCATGGGGACATTTGTTAGTAGATTGGTTCGTGGTCTCCCCACATGTACACGATGTTAAAACTTCCAACGTTAGTTTCGATCCTGGTGGACCAGTGGCGGTAGTATGTCTTATATATAACAGTAACCGCCTCGCGGCCGCGGGTTGGTGCTACCTAATATCAGGTTGTAAAGTTGCATGGATACATGTTCCTCTTTTCCAGCTTTAGTTGATATGGACTGGATGGGATGGCGGTATATAGGGAACTGGAAAATAGCAGACTGTAACAAGGACATAAAAGCGTGAAGGCTCTATCTCCAACCCTGCCCTCCACTCGGGTATGAGTCTAGTATTTGGACCTCAATAGTGTGGTACATGCGCCAAGTCGAGCCGGCATATAAGCTCAAATTGGCTCGACTCATTGGAGGCAGGGGCTCGCTAGGCTCGAGCCGAGTCGACTCATGGACCAGACTAGACGTCAACATGCAAGATTTGGTAGAGAAGACCCTGTTGCAGCGAAACGAATTTTCTCAAATACTGCGCTACACAATTTTCCTAGGTTTTCCTTTCTACAGAGCTGGCTGAAGCCAGACTAAGACTTAGTGTTTCTAACCGTTCTTCGGTTTATCAGTTCAAACCTGTTTACTAGAACCATTTAAGAAAACAGTTCAGTCAAGTTTTACCTACCCAGTATTTGGTTCAGTGCAGTTTGGGCTTGGGTAAACTGGTTTTGTATGCACGTGGAACTTCTCATACAAACTAAGAACACACTATTAGGACCAACCTACTCCTATCTAAATGATTAACTTAAGCGTAGACAAATAATGTCTCACCGTAAGATTACAACCACCGCCGATAGCTTGAATATCTGAAGCGGGCAGCAAGATGGCTGATTGCATTGGGCACCTGGCCCTGTCACCCCTGTTAGACACATAGGACTCAAAGCACAGTTTCTTGTCGCCCAAGGTCACCGCAGCTCACTCACATTTCTGGGTCATGATATGGTGCGCACACTCATAAAGGTTATGGGGTGGGGTACAGAAGATACAGAAGTGGAACAATTGTGGCTGCAATATGGCCTCATGGGCCAATAAGAGAGGGCCTTCTACTACATCACTACCATGGCCTAATCGGGTTTGCTTCTTTAAGGGTATAAATGGGTATAATACTGTTCCACTTTGCTCAGTCTTGGCGCTTTTTGCATACTAAAATACCGAATTTCAAGCTTGAATAACTTTTTAATCAGGACAGATATCAAACATCGGGTTGGTAAAATTATTTTTCATTACTAGTACTTCAAATTTACCAACCCGATTTTTGATATCTGTCCTGGTTAAAAAGTTATTCAACCTCAACCTTGCCCTAATTTTTGACTACATTTCTGACTGGGCGCACCATATATCACTCGCTTCAGTCGGTCACCGGCGATCACTCGCTCCAGCGTCGCAACTTAGTGCACATAGGTGCTGCTGCAGGCGCTGGCGGCGACGGAGGTGCACGCGGGGGCAGCGGCGGAGGCATTAGTTTAGGTGCTGCAGGTGCAGCGCCCGGAGGTGTCAAATAGGCGTCGTTTTAGGTGCAGGTGCAGCAGCAGTGCTGTCAAAAACAGCGACCGTACGGTGACTCCAGAAGCAGCACCAGATGTCAACTTAGCTGCCGTACGGTGCCTGCTGCATCAGCAGTGCTGTCAAGAAAGGCGCCGTACAGCGACTCCAGCAGGAGCAGTGCTGTCAAATTAGGCTTCATACGGTGACCCTAGTAGTAGCACCGCTGTCAAATTAGGTATCGTATAGTGAGGTTTAGGCGTGTCACCTAGGTTTTGACCTTTTTGGCCGGTTTTAGCCCAAATCTACCTACCCCTAACCCGAACCCCACACCAAAAAGAAAGCCCTAAAGCGTGGATTCTGTCTGCATAGCGGGGACTCCCCAGGTGTCGCGGGTACTCAGTAGGTATAGCGGGGCCTCTTTGAGTATTGCGAGCCTTGATTTGAAGGTAGCGAGCCCTTATACTAGATAGCTGGGCCTCACAGCAGTAGGCAGCGGTGAGCTTGATGGTGGTGGACCCTGATAATTACATGGGCTCGGGAATTTGCAATATCATTTTGATTTCCGAAATTGTTTTTTAGGGCTGTTTTAGCTTAGTGACGAACGCGGTTCAATCAGGAACGACTTGCTATTTCGGAAACCACCAAAATTGACAACACCAGACCTTCTACCAGGGGCACTCTGGTAGTTCCAGCAAAATGTGTGTGTGTGTGTGAAGTCATTTCATTTCTAGTTTCTAGGTACAGAATGGTGGCATGGAGTATAAACTATGGTGTAAAGAAACCTAACCCCGAGCCTTCTTAAACACGTCCCCTTAAAGAAACAAGAAACTAAAACCAAAAATATACATAGAAGAGTAAATTATACTCATTTCTGATGGGGTGAACTCAGGGTTAAGGTTAGCCCCCCATCACCAAAGACAGGGAGACCCCTATAGTATGCAGTTCTACGTGCCGTACAGTTCCTTTCACCCACTTCTCCTTTGATATATAGGGGACGTATGATTGACTTGCTTCTGCCTACTAAAACAAGTGTCGTGAGACGTTTATTCTACCTGTATGGATGCATTGCGTCCCGACTGAAAGCAAGTTTGCAAGGTTTCACTACTTTCTCTGCTATAACCATCACCTCCACAGCCTACACATCTATAGCCCGCGCTTGCACTACCACCTCACCGCAAACAAATCTACAACAGTAAAAACAATGGAGTGATATATAATTAGCTGTCAACGGGGCACTAATCTCATTAATCTGGGCTCTCTGTGCTCTCTGTCATTTCCACCTACCACGGTTAACTAATCTCTGAAATGACCAATTGTTCTTGGTTTATTCGGGATATCTGAAATATGATATATTATACTCATTTCTGATGGGGTGAACTTAGGGTTAAGGTTAGCCCCCCCCATCCCCAAAAACACGGAGACCCCTATAGTATGCAGTTCTACGTGCTGTATAGTCCCCTTCACCCACTTCTCCTTTGATATATAGGGGACGTACGGTTGACTTGCTTTTGCCTCCTAGAACAAGCGTCGTGAGGCGTTTGTTTTACCTGTATGGATGCATTGCATCCTGACTGAAAGCAAGTTTGCATCTGCGATACATACAAATTTGCAAGGTTTCACTACTTTCTCAGCTATAACCCTTACCTCCATAGGCTACACATCCATAGTCCGCGCTTGCAACAACACCTCACCGCCAATACATCTATATTAGTAAAAAACAATGGATTCATATATATTTAGCTGTCAACGGTGCACTAATGCCACTAAACTGGGCTCTCCATGCTGCCTGTCGTTTCCACCCAACATGGTTAACTAATTCCTGAGATGACCAATCATGCTTTGCTTATTCGGGTGATCTGAAATATGATATTGCCGTAACATAGTTTTGATTCCTTGGGTAGTGGCGAATGATATCAAATTTGATAGATGATACTGTGAGAATTCCCCCTTCATACCTCAGCTACCGGTACCTTACCTGCTACCTTGATCACCACCTCCTGCTTGCGTCTACCACCGGATTGAGATAACTTTACGAAAACCGCTGCAGGAACCAAATAAATGGCCAAATTGAGTTCCACATTGACGTATAACGGAGATTTAATTGACATCTACTTGCTACCAAATCGTGTACTCAATTACTCTGTATCGATAGCAAGTGGGCACCTAATTGTTTACTGACTTAAGTGACAAGTTAGAAATAGAATCTTTTCACAAAACTGAATCAAAACGAAGTTAAATTGAAGGGAGGGAGTCAACAAAGCTATCACAATAGAAATACTACTTTAAGAGCAGGCAAACAAAAGTGCTCAGCCAGCTAAAATCTAGTAGGAGAATGTCGGACAGGATTTTGAGGTTGCCTGGGAACCGTCGCCCCACAATTCCCGATTCCGTGCCTACGGATTAAATAGGCCGCCCCGAGTCCATCGCCATCGTCAAATATGTAGGTACCGGGAGTCGTGGTCGTGATAGCAGGGGCGTAGAGGGTGGTTAGGGGCTGTTGAGTAGGGTAACTCCTTGTGAGTCTTGGCGACCGAATCGGGTGAATCCCACTCCTCATCTCTTTTGGGTTTTCTCAAACTCATTCGGATTCTGACCTATAGGTTACCTTGTTGAAACACTCTTGGTTCTTACCTCCTGTTTACATCATTAGCCGAACCTTACTCCATGCCACCGATATCTTTTCTCAAACTAATTCGGATTTCAATCCCAAACCACACTATTTAGAATACTTCCAGGCATTAGGAGTTTACTTTGCATCTAGATATATTACGACGATATCACTTAATAAAAGGACACAAAGCTCTCATTGCGGGCCATCCAAGTCTCCGTAGGTGGGTAAGAAATCTCTTTGTATCGTCTGGTGTATCTCGGACCCTAACTACCCACAACTCAACTTCAACCTCCAAGAAATACACATTTCCGCATTACACTTTGAGAACGACGCTCGTAACCCTAACCACCCACAATAGAGCTTCAACCTCCGCCAAATACACATTTCTGAATTACAATTCCAGATGGCCACTCGTAACCCTAACTACCCACAACCGAGTTTCAACCTCCACCAAATACATATTTCTCTA